GTCAATAAACAATGTTGTTTATCATAAGTGTCGTAATCTTGTTTATAATCAAATATAACCTATATATAATAGCCAAATATCTGTTTGTCGTCACACTCTATATCTCCTGACCGCTTATTCGTACAAAAAAGAAAACAACAACTTATGTATCAAAATGTTTATTTTCAAAAGTACATTACAGGAAAATCATTCATTTTTTTGCAATTCTTAAAATTTCATGTCGATATCAACATCGATCCGTCAGCCTTCATATGTGCTGGACGGTCAATCTGAGAAAATTTTTTATTAAGAACAGAAATGTTTCTTTTTAAGAGGGAATTTCACGAACATTTCACGTCTATTTATTGAAATAAATATGTTGAAGATAAGAGCATACATCGAAAAACGCATAAAGAGGGGTGTGTGTTTGTATATATATATTTGTTGTTGTTCGCCTTCTTTTTATATATATATACATCATGTCGGTATTATAGATATGCATGATTTTACTGTACCATGTCGAATAAATTGATTTGAATATCTTCTCTTTGACACTTATTATAGAAATGAAAATTGTCAAAAAAGTGCTCACTTCCGTATCGGTCTTTCCTTGCCATCATAAAACGACAAGGAGTGGTGGCATCCAGCGGGAAAAAATCCCAGTGGCTACTTAGCGAAACTGAGCACTCTAATGTGCCGGATGCACCCATTGCATTCAAAAACTGAAAATTTCTGCCAACAGTTCATTGTTTTAGTCTCCTTTGTTTAAAAATAAACGCGATGCAATTTTCTTTATTAAATTAACACATGGTATAACAAAAAATGCTTGTAAACGGCCCACTAGATAATCATATTGCATATACGCTCTGATCCAAGGGATGGGATTGACTGCATATTTTATATTTATTCATCATTATTTTTAGGAAAATTACCATTGAATTGTTTCACCGGGCAACGGGCATCTGCTAGTTATATCATAATACTAAAGTACAGCTGGTTTTACTGAAATTCACCTGTAGACGAAGGTACTGTAATACATGGTGTATATAAAATAGTAAAGTTGTAACGTTGTTCGTCTGTTGGCAGGTTCTTTTAAATTATCTGGTAAAAATAATTCAACGTCCAGTCCACGTAACAATAAGAAATTATTTTTATTTCTTCCTTAATGTTTCCAAATACTTAAACATTGTGGTAAGTTGTAGATCAGGTTTACAGCCACACTAACTGCACTACAGTAACACAAGAAATATCAACATACTTGTACAAAGTAGCTTAATATACGTGATAGCTAACACAAATACTTTACTAAAAACACACTCAATGATTCCATCTATTGGCTAGAAACAGCTCTTCATCTTCTTAATGATTAATAGTTTCACTGTAAGTTTACTTAGCCAATTAACTGATTCACCCGTATTTATAACTTAATCCTTATTCTAGATATTTTTAAAGTTTCTCGTTCATTAATATTCCCAGATATTCTAGGACTAATTGATCTTAATGTGATGTGTCATCTTGCTAACATCTAAATTACAACATTACATATATATTTAGCTTATAAGTTATAACAATGCTTTGTTTTTCACAGTATTCAATAAACGATCAATTGCTTATAATCAAACTTCTTAACCGTTATTTCTAAAATTTTGAGAGTAGTATTCTAAGGTATATTTTTGATGTTGTGATTTAAGTGTTAGCTGGAGAGAGCTGCGGTCTTAATGATGATTTTAAGATCAGAGCATATAAAAAGCTCCACGGATGTGACGTAAACTGTTCTAGTACATTCGAGGTTAGATTATAAATACGAGATAGTTACACAGTTTGTATAATTTTATTTCAAAATATAATAGTAATAGAGTAAGTTGATTAGTTTTACGTTAGTTAACGTCATTTGTAACTTAGACCTATTGAAAATTTACGGCAATACAAGTGTTCAAGTTTGTAAGAAGAAATAAAGTAATTTATTATGGTTTCTTGGACTGGACGTTGGATTATTTTAACATAAAACAAGAAAAGAACCTACCAACCAAAGAACTATGCAACTAAAATAGTTTCACTGACGTTATAAGTTGTATAATGTATAAGGTTTCTAAAAATTGGGACCACAGGTCAGAGCTGTTCGAAGTTACTTGTTTTCTATTTTGTTTTTACCTCACGAAAACTATTGAAAAGATGAACAACCATTGTTAACTAATCGTCACTGCTGCTCACGCCCAGACGCACAGCCAGTGCTTATATTCATAAATACTGACAATGAAATGTGAATTTTTAAGCTAATAGACAACTACGTAAAGTTACAAATACCATAATCAAATCTAGTGATGACGATGTAGCTAAGCGATGATCTGATATATATTAATACGTAGGTCTAACAGTCAAATTTGTTTTTAGCCTTTAGGTTTGTAAATTTTAATCGTGAGATTAATATATTAATTCTCGCGTGAATTATGACTAACGGAAAGCTTATAATTTCATTGTATTGGAACTTTGGTAATATATATTTAATAATATGTACACTGACTAACTTTAATTTAAAGTTATAGAAAAAACTGGTCCTCTGCCGTATATTATAATATTGCATTATGATGACTACGAAGTACTGTTATTTATCACATGGACAATAAAGAATATAAGCTCTGTAATGAAGAGTAGAGAGGATGATAGAGGACAGTAGCAAAGAGATCAAGAGAGAGTTAGTGGTAGGCTTTCTTTTTAAGTTAAGCCTAACTTTTCGACTTCGTTTCATACCATTTACTAATGAAATTATTTTGTTTATGCCAGAGGGCTAGTTTTTGCATTAATTGTAATAAATTAAATGGACTCCCTGTTCTTTAAAGCATATACTTTTATTATCTTCTCTGGCTAACCTTAAGGTATTGTAATTTATTTATAAACGTAACATTGACTAACTTCAGAGTATTGTAATTTATTTATAAACGTAATATTGAATAACTTCAGGGTACTGTAATTTATTTATAAACGTAACATTGACTAACTTCAGGGTATTGTAATTTATTTATAAACGTAACATTGACTAACTTCAGGGTATTGTAATTTATTTATAAACGTAACATTGATTAACTTCAGAGTATTGTAATTTATTTATAAACGTAATATTGAATAACTTCAGGGTACTGTAATTTATTTATAAACGTAACATTGACTAACTTCAGGGTATTGTAATTTATTTATAAACGTAACATTGACTAACTTCAGGGTATTGTAATTTATTTAAAAACGTAATATTGACTAACTTCAGAGTATTGTAATTTATTTATAAACGTAACATTGACTAACTTCAGGGTATTGTAATTTATTTAAAAACGTAATATTGAATAACTTCAGGGTACTGTAATTTATTTATAAACGTAATATTGACTAACTTCATGGTATTGTAATTCCTTGGTGCATGTAACATTGACTTGTAATTCGTGTTTCATCTTTTTTTTGGCAGTTTTCTCAGCTTGGTTTGGTTTGTTGTTGAGCTCAAAGATACACGATGAGTTATCTGTTCTTTTCCCACCACTGGTATCGAAATTTGAATATTAGCGTTGTAAGCACGCGGACTTACAGCTGAGCTACTGTGTGGAGCCTGTTCTCAGATGTTATTGAGTATTAATGTATCAAGATGGTTCTTCGTGGCCACAGGGATTTATAAAGGACGTGGAAATTATTAATTCTTTAGATGCTACTTCAGGTAGGTCAAATAATTCTCTAGTGTTGCTTGACCCATTCAGCTATGTGTATTAAGTTCAAACATGAATCCAAGATGTCAGACCCCTTCTACTACAAATACACAAACGTCACAAAAGATCGAAATCTATTATCGGAAGGAATCTCGTGCCCCTGTAACCACAAACAGACAAACGTCACAAATGAACGAGATCTACTATCGTAAGGAAGTTCGTGTCCCTGTAACCACAAACGTCAGAAGTAAACGAAATACATTATCGGATGGAACTTCATGCCCTTGTCAGAGTATGCACTCTTTTATATATAGAACTTTGGAAAACATTCTCCAATTCCACAACTTGAATTTATTACCAAAACAACTATTGAGGTAGTTTTGATATCAATATATTTTATAATTTATTTTCTTGAAAACGTTAAGCAATTTTATCTCCATGATGAAGTTATCACTGAAATTACGTTAATATTCTGAATAACCACGATGAAAGAATAAGAAAAATTAAACAGTTTTAACGGAATATTTCGAAAGTCATAATTTTAGAGAAAAGAAAATTTACAGTCCATGAACACAATATATATCTCTTTTCTCTTGCTTATCTAGACGTCTCATATCATTCTTTTTCTCTTACTTATCTAAACGACTCAGATCATCCTTTTTCTCTTGCTTATCTAGACGTCTCAGATCATCATTTTTCTCTTACTTATCTAGACGTCTCAGATCATCCTTTTTATCTTACTTCTAGACGACTCAGATCATCCTTTTTATCTTACTTCTAGACGACTCAGATCATCCTTTTTATCTTACTTCTAGACGACTCAGATCATCCTTTTTATCTTACTTCTAGGCGTCTCAGATCATCATTTTTCTCTTACTTACCTAGACGTCTCAGATCATATTTTTTTTCTTACTTATCTCGGCATCTTACATAATATTTTTGTATTAACTTTTATAAATAATGTTGGCAACAATTTATATAATCATTTCTTCAAGTAAATTTTTATTTATTTTTTTATGGCTGTTCTCCTATATATTTGTATAAATTTTTATTACAAATAAAATGATTTCTTTTATACATTATCTTCTCACAGTTTAATGTTAAAATTTCCATTCACATGTTATCTTTCTTATTTATCGAAAAGGCACAATCGCCAATTTTCCTTTACTGTAAAGAAAAGAACATTTTCATTGGTTATAGAATTTACCTAATGTTATTATCAAACCACTGATATTATCAATAACGAAATACACGAACGGCCTGTCCAATTTAACATCAATTGCTGCATTGTCGCCAGAAGTTTCTGGTGCCGTTTCGATCTTGGCTTCTTTAATCTCAATGTTGATTTTGTGGACAATATCCGACAGATGGAGCCAGCGAGAGTCGCTGATACCAAACAGGCCAGCATATCCCGGTGTGAAGATGTTGGCGAGTCCCATGGAACTAAGAGCATGAGACAAGTTCTGGTATGTTTCTTCCAGAGTGATTCGAGGTATCTAAAGGAAAGTGTCAAGAGACTTAAAAAACAGTTCGACCAAGTTTCAGTCAGAAATAGTTAACAACAACAACAAGTGTTAACAATTCATGCTTGTAAGACATGTCTTCTATAAAAGAAAAAAGTAAACGTCCAATAAAATTAATCATTTTCAAGGTCATAAGGTCATTTGCTATGTTATCTTGTCGTCCTTATAGAGACTCTAATGAAGAAGATTAAAACAGGATACTCTGTCACATATGTTTCATTACCTGTATATTCACTCTTTTCACTTCCATGTTAAATATGACGTCACTGAGCCGCTGAGCAGAAAGTCTTCTTTCTATTAGAGCAACATCTTCTGGATGATTAGGAAGTAAAAATACCATTGACATGAAATCGTTCTTGAAGGGAACTTCGACGGCTGTACAATTTAAATATTTGTCCTCGCCGTACCGAAGTCGGGCCTTCTTAGCTTCCAGCACTACCGCGCCGTTGACAACTTCTTTGGTCCCTTCTTCCACCACAGATACGTTCATGTCCAACAATCCTCGAAAGTGGATTCCGTTCAAAAGGAGCATGGTTGTGCTTCTTGCGGGAAGTTCGGGCAGAATGTCTTTTATTTTACCGGCCGTTTCCTTGGATACTACAGCATTTATGTGGTTTCTCGTTTCTTCTCCATTGTCGTAAAAGTCCACTGGGTGTACAGTGGTATTGTAGTATCCGAGTAAGAACATCTGGAATGGGAATCTGACGCTGAAGTCCCTTTGGACGTACATGGAACTGTAGAGCAATAAGTTATTCACAGATTCGTTTGTAACGCTTTCATTGTTGTGTCGATGGGCTGCTGAGGCTTGAAGATTGGTCGACAGGTGGTGCAGAAGGTCATAGAAAGCCCCATGAATTTCCTGCGGGTACATTCCCCAGAGGTAAAGGGCGTGACGAAGCGCAGCAGTGGAGTCTCCACGCGAGCCGATCATCATGGCGGCCAGAGCCGTGCTAATACTAAGCGGACTGATGGCAACGTTAGTGTTATTCGACTCTTGATTCATAGCCCTATACAAGTCCATTCCAAACTGGTTTGTTGCAAATGCCACTTTTCGAATGCCATAGGATAAAGAAAACACTGAAGTTGTTAACGCCAACAGTATTACCAACTTCCACAAAACTCCAATGTATCCCATTCTACTATTATCTGAAAAAGATAAATATTTTATATATATAACACAAATAATTCCAATAATTTCAAAAAATAAATTATTATAACTTGCAAGTTAATCGGATATTTAACCTGTTAAGCGTGTTTAACTATAACAAGTTATATATATATTTATAGGGAATGGAGTGATATAAATTGATTTCCGAATCTCATAATTAACTAAACAATATTATACTTGTGTGTAGTCACCAAGGGAATAATATAAAGGTTGTAATGTGTAGTGGATATAGGCACCAAGGGTATTATATAGAGGTTCTTATGTGTAGTGGATATAGGCACCAAGGGTATTATATAGAGGTTCTTATGTGTAGTGGATATAGGCACCAAGGGTATTATATAGAGGTTCTTATGTGTAGTGGATATAGGCACCAAGGGTATTACATAGAGGTTTTCATGTTTAGTGGATATAGTTCCCAAGGGTGTAATATAGAGGTTCTTATGTGTAGTGGATATAGTTCCCAATGGTATAATATAGAGGTTCTTATGTGTAGTGGATATAGGCATCAAGGGTATAACGTTTTATATGTGTTTTATAAAATATTAATAAATAACATAGTAAAACAAAATTTTAAGTAACAATATAGTCATTAAAATATTAAGTAATAACGTTGTCATGCAAAATATTAGTAACAATATAGTCATACAAAGTATTAGGTATCAACACAGTCATACAAAGTATTAAATAACAACATAGTATTACAAAATATTAAGTATTAACACAGTCTTACAAAATGTTAAGTGATAAAAAGGTCATATGATATATTACGTAATAACGTTGTCATATAAGATATTAAATAATGACATTGTCTTACAAAATATTAAGTAATAAAAAAGTTGTACAATCTATTGTATAATAATGTTGTCATGTAAGATATTAAATAATGGCATTGTCTTACAAAATATTAAGTAATAAAAAGGTCATATGATCTATTACGTAATAACGTTGTCATATAAGATATTAAATAATGACATTGTCTTACAAAATATTAAGTAATAAAAAAGCTGTACAATCTATTGTATAATAACGTTTTCATGTAAGATATTAAATAATGGCATTGTCTTACAAAATATTAAGTAATAAAAAGGTCATATGATCTATTACGTAATAACGTTGTCATATAATATATACAGTCTAGTAGAAAAGCATGTAACCTGAAGAACAAAGATTCCTTGGTTCACGGTGGCTAGGTTTGAAAGACAGCTTGATGTCTCTTTGTTATACTGAAAAGTTCTACTTTTAACGCCTGACCTCCTGTATAGAGGGCGGTCACAGCTCGCTTGCCTTACGGTCATGACTGATGCAACCAATTTTTGCTATTTTATTTACATTCTATGCAGTGAAATAAAAAAAGACACTTATTCATTATCATGTAAAATCTGTTCTAACTAAAAATATAATAGTGGGTTTGAAAATTTAAAATACTTGACGTTCTAGTAGCAAATAACACTCACCAGATGACTTACATAAAAACAGTATCCTGTAAATTACGAAGTCATAGCATACACAACATACCAGATAAATAATTATAATAACAGTATCCTGTAAATTACGAAATCATAACATATATAACATACCAGATAAATGATTATAATAAGAGTATCATGTAAATTACGAAGTCATAACATACCAGATGGACGATTATAAAAATTGTATCATTTAAATTACGAAGTTATAACTTACATAACATACAAGATGGACGATTATAAAAATTGTATCATTTAAATTACGAAGTTATAACTTACATAACATACCAGATGGACAATTATACAAACTGTATCATTTAAATTACGAAGTCATAACTTACATAACATACCAGATGGACAATTATACAAACTGTATCATTTAAATTACGAAGTCATAACTTACATAACATACCAAATGTACGATTATAAAGAAACAGCATTTTTTAAAGTGAAAGAGTCATTACTTCTATATATCATAACAAGGTCAAAACAACTGTTTATTAAAACGACGATTGTAATTATAAAGGTGTTCTATATCAGATTTTTCATCACGTGCGGTCACGGATTACTCTAAAACTTGTTGCTTCGTTAGCGAAACTTCGTAGGAAATATACAAAAAACGAGATACTGTTGGGACCATAATAAAAACGAAACGTCGTTGGAAATCACGACATATACTCTGAATTATTCTATATTAAATATTATCTGTCTTCATATTTCCTACCTGCTGAATTATCCTGTATTATATATTCTCTTTCTCTGTATTTCTTACCTGCTGAATTATCCTGTATTATATATTCTCTTTCTTCATATTTCTTACCTGCTGAATTATCCTGTATTATATATTCTCTTTCTTCATATTTCCTACCTGCTGAATTATCCTGTATTATATATTCTTTTTCTTCATATTTCCTACCTGCTGGATTATTCTGTATTTCCTCATTCCTCATATTTCTTACCTGCTGGATTATCCTGTATTATATATTCTCATTCTTTGTATTTCTTACCTGCTGGATTATCCTGTATTATATATTCTCATTCTTCGTATTTCTTACCTGCTGAATTATTTCTTTGTTCGTCTAACCTCGTCACTAATCTTCCTAGAAATGCAGATGTGGATAAGAGTACTACTTTATAAATGTGTAATTTTTATGAACGATTTGTCTTCTTTAGTGATGCTTTCGTTCTTAAGTACCGAAATATTGCACGGTGATTATTTTTCTGAAGGAGTTGACGTCATACAATGACTTTAACATATTTAGTTTTCCACTTATGCTCTGATTGTAATGTGATATATAAAGTCCCTGAAGCAGAACGAGTGCTTGATTAGTAGTGGTCAAAAAGACGACTTCCGTACCACACCCACACAATGTTACACTTCAGGACCAACACTTCTGTTCGCACGATTTGCTTCCACCTAATATTAACATAACCCGTATATCATTCATTGCTACTTTCTTTTGATCAAGTTGGTCATATAAGTGGACCAACTTACCTCCAGGGCAACCTAACCATTCTGAAGTCTAACAGAAATATATAAATTAGTAACAGTAATAGCACGAGATAGAAAATTATAGTGAGTGTATTAAGTTAACAACGGTAACAGTAAAATAGTAATAGTGAGTTAATAAAGTTAATAACGGTAATGGTAAAACAATGTTACAAATAAACTAATTATTGAAAGTGTATGAAGTTCACAATGGTAATAGTAAAACAATGTTACAAATAATCTAATTATTATGAGTGTATGAAGTTAACAATGGTAATAGTGAAACAATGTTATAAATAATCTAATTATTGAAAGTGTATGAAGTTCACAATGGTAATAGTAAAACAATGTTACAAATAATCTAATTATTATGAGTGTATGAAGTTA